AAAACAATGCTGTAATTAAAAACTTGTGCATATGTATTTTCATACTGTTGGAGGCATATCTTCAAGGTGAATTCTTAGAATTGCTGGCTGCATTGGTCGAAACAATACATAGGAAAATTTTGTTTGACATTGCCAAATTTCTCTTCAGAATTGTACAATCTGTAGTCCCATCAGCAATGTATGAACATGTCTATTTCCTCACAGCATTACCAACAGAATGTTGCCATTTTCTTAAATTTTTTCAGTCTCACCAATGAGAAATGGTTTGAATGGCTTTAATTTGCATTTGTCCAATTTTGAGTGAATGTGAGAGTTTTTTTATATGTTTCAGTTTGTTTTAAAATCTTTTATGGTGAGTTTTCTGTTCATGTATTTTTCCCATTTTTCTATCGGGTTTTTAGTCCCTTCCCCCTCCTTACTGTAATATACCTTCAGCAAAATCACTCAGCTATCGTCCTAAGTACAGGTTGTAGGAGGATACTTTTGGAAGCAGGGAGATGGTTATTTCAATAATCCAGATGAGTTAAAGGAAGGTAGTCGCAGTAGAGGTGGTGAGCAATGGTCACACTGCAGGTATCACGGGAATGTAAATCAGAAAATTTTCCTAACAGACACACTGTAGGTTATGAGCAAAAGAGAGATCAAGGTGGTTTCTTGTTTCTGCTTGAAAGAATGAAATAGATTTGTCATTAATTTAGAGAAAATCTCGGTTGAGGCAAATTTGGGGTGTGGATGATAATCACAAGCTGGGTCTGAATCATGTCAAACTTGAGATACCAATCAAATTTCTAAGTGATAGTGTCAAGATGATGATTGGATATATAGCGCTGAAGTTCAAAGGGAATAGTAGTATGCAGAAGCACTGATGTGTAAGAACTAGATGAGGTCAACACAAGTACAGATGTAAAATAAAAGACATACACACACTGAGCCATTTGAGAAATCATGGAGACGGTAAGGAACCAGCCAAAGAGACAGAAGGAGCAGCCAATAAGGAAGTAGGAAAACAAGAATATGGTGCTTTGGATGCCGAGTGAAAAACACATTTCACTGACAGACTGATAAAAATTGTCAAATGCTACCAACAGGTCAAGTAAGATAGAGACTAAGAATTGACATTAGATACAGCAAATACTTAACGTTGTTGGAGACCTTAAAAGAAGTGTTAGTGGCATGGTAAAGATAAAATACTAATTTGAGTGAATTTCAGAATGAGAAAATAAGATTTTGAGACCATCAGCATAAATAAACTTTGGGGATTTTACAGTAAAGGATTCAAGCATTTCATTTCAGCATAATGGTATATGATATCAGAAGAAATGTAGGTGCTTTGTGATTTCATGATCAACAAAACCTTAATTAAGAAGCAGAAAAATCAAAGGAGAAAGTAGGCTAAAACAGGTAAGAAAATGAAATGGAAGATGAATGCAATATATCAGGGTGATTTTAGTAGAATTTGTTTTATTTAACAAACACTGATATATTGTTTACTATGTGTCAGACACTGTTCAAGGATTTGTAAATACAATTCATTTAACATTCACTTCTTCTAATCCTCAAAATTTGTGATTGTCCTTTTCCCAACCTTTAAATGTACTGAGACATAAGCCCACAAATATATCCTCTGTTTATACAATCTCCGTAAGTGATGTTATTCAGACCTATGACTTCAAATATCTATTTACTAACAGCCTTTAATTATGTATCTCCAACCTACAGAAGCTGGAAAAAGAACAACAAATGAAGTCTAAAGCCAGAAGAAATATAGAGCAGAAATAAATGATACAGAAAAAACAAACAAAATACCACAAAAACAAAAACAATAGAACACATCTGTGAAAACCAGGAGATAGTTCTTTAAAAAAAAAATAAGTGAAATTGATAAGCCTCTAGCCAGATTTATCAAAAAGAGAAAGGACCCAAATAAAAATCACAAGTGATGAAGAGAAATAACTAACATGACAGAAATACAAGAAATTATGAGAATATTATGAAAGACTATATGTCAATAAATTGGACAACCTGGAAGAAATTGACAAATTCCAATAAACATATAAACTATGAAAACTGAAATGGGAATAGAAAACATCAACAGACCTATAACCAGCAAAGAAACTGAATCAGTAATCAAAAATCTCCCAAAACGCACAAGTCTAGGGCCAGATGGCTTCAAAGGAGATCTCTATCAAACATTTAAGGAAGAGTTACTACCTATTCTTCTCAAACTATTTCAAAAAATAAGAAAGGAAAAATTCCAAATTCATTCTATGAGGCCAACATTACCCTGAAACCAAAACCAGATAAATACACAACAACAACAACAATGACAAAGAGTATAGGACAATATCCTTGATGAACATGGATGTAAAAATTCTCTAATAAAAGAAAGGATAGAAATGTATGATCATTTCAGTAGATGTAGAAAAGCATTTCATAAAGTACAACATTCACACATAATAAAAGCCCTCAATAAAGCAGATTTAGAGAGAACATACCTCAACATAATAAAGGCCATATACAAAAAACCCACAGCTAATACCATCCTGAACAGGGAAAAACTGAGCTTTTCCTCTATGGTCAGGAACAAGACAGAGATGTCCACTCTAACCACTGTTATTTAATGCAGTACTGGAAGTCCTAGCCACAGCAATCAGACAAGAAGAAGAAATGAAAGGCTTCCATATTGTCAAGAAGTCAAATTTTCACTATTTGCAAATAACATGATACTTTATATATAAAACCCTAAAGACTTCACCAGAAAATTACTAGAACTGATATACAAATTCAGTGAAGTCACAGGATACAAGATTAACATACAGAAATGTGCTACAATTCTATACACCAATAATTAAGCAAAAGAAAGAGAAATTAAGGAATCAACCCCATTTACAGCTACACCAAAAACCATAAGATACCTGTGAATAAACCTAATAAAAGAGGTAATTACGTGTCTCCAAGTCCCAACATTAATATTTTAAAGTGTGATGATGAAGCTTCAATTTTTAATACTTCAGCTTGCTGTGTTTTTAAGTTTTTTACAATGCACATGTACTGCTTGTATAATAAAACACTTTAAAATTCTTGGGGCGCCTGGGTGGCTCAGTGGGTTAAAGCCTCTGGCTTTAGCTCAGGTCATGATTCCAGGGTCCTGGGATGGAGCCCCACATCGGACTCTCTGCTCAGCAGGGAGCCTGCTTCCCTTCCTCTCTCTCTGCCTGCCTCTCTGCCTACTTGTGATCTCTGTCAAATAAATAAATAAAATCTTTAAAAATAAAACATTTTAAAATTCTTCAAAAGAGGCAATGATTCGTGAAATTTTATTTCCCCAGATAGGTAAGATAACTGCTATATCTAGCAACACAGAAGTCACTGGTATCCTTGACAAGATCTATTTTGGTGGAGGAGGGTAAGAAATACCCATGTATAGTTTGGCAGTTCTGCAAAACGTTAAACGGAGTTAGGGTATGACCCAGCAATTATAGTCTTAGGTATATACTCCTTTGTCTACATAAAAACTTATACACAAATATTCACAGCAATGTAATAGCCTAGAAGCCAAAAGTGTAAATAACCCAAATGTCCATAAACCAATGAATGGAAAACAAAGTATGATATATTCATATAATGGAATATTATTCAGCAAATTTTAAAAGAATTAAGTACCAAGAGATGCCACAGCACTGATGAGCCTTGAAAACATTAAGCTAAGTGAAAGAAGCCAATCACGTAAGAAAACATCCTGAGTAATTCCTACCATGCTTATGAATTTTCTCAAGTCCCTAGAGACATAAACTGTGTTAGTGGTTGCTTACAGTTGAGGGGGTGGAGGGTCTGGGGAGTGAATGCTAATGGGTATGAAGTTCTTTGAGGAATGATGAGAATGTCCTAAAATTAGGTCATGTTAATGGTTGTACAATTTTGTGACTATAATAAAAACCACTGAATTGTACACTTTTAAGAGGTGAATTTATGGTAAATGAATTCTCTCAATAAAACTGGTATAAGAAAAAAAGGCAGAATTTAGTTGATCAGTTTGCATTTTTCTCAGTGTGTATAACTTTTCTGTGACCTTACTTCTGGAGATCTTTTTTTGGCGGGGAGGGGTAAACTTTTCTTTCTTCCCATTAATCCCTATCCCCATACAACTCCTGAACTCTCCAAATCAAACATAATCAGACAGAAAAATGTTTGCCTCCATTAAGAAAAAGAATACTTTACAATTTTTAAGAAGTATTAAATGTGGCCATTGTTCAGACTTACTTTTCACAGTTACATATGTACATAATCCAAAAAAAAAAAAAAAGGAGAAGAGGAGAAAGAGGATGGAGAAGGAGAAAAAGCATTTACCTAGGAATAATAACTTATCACTTTAAGCAAACATTACATTATATAGCCTGGATTCTAAAACCCATTTTGAATTATATAAAACTACTTTGTAAAAGCCACAAAACAAGTGTCCCTCACTCTGAGAAATGTTTGAATTTTTAAATAATACTGTTATAATACATTTTCTTTCATGAAATAAAATAGATTTACAACAATGGTATCATTTTATGGATACAGACTGAGTACATATATAAGCCCACTGGCAAGGCTAAGTTTAGAGCTGATATCCTCCCTTGGACTGTGTAATTTCAGCAGTATACAATAAATTCTCTACTGTTGGAATAACACCTGTGCAGTTCAGCTAAAGATGTAGACAATTAAAAACAAAAACAAAAATCCTTGCACAAATATTAAAACTTTGGGAATTCTAATTAACAGAAAAATAGAAAAATTTTCCTTCCCCAAAAAAAAGTATCTAGGCGAAGATTCAGATACCCCATGTAGATTATTCACAAGAGGCATGTGTGAATCAACCTTTTTTGTAGTTCTTAAATAAAATTTAATCATTAACTGATGAAAAAACAAGTTTCATATTTAAAGACACTTTTAGAATGCATCTATAATTAACTTAATGCAAAAGTATATGAAAAAATCACAGCTATTTCACTGCAGTCTTTAAGTATAGCAATATTTTATTATTTTTGGTGCATCTTCTTACGCATTTCTTCAAGAGCTGCTTCTTTCTCTCTCAGTACCTGTTTAAGTCTTCTTATTTTTTCATCTCGAATGGTTTCTTCTAACTCTGGTGGCGTCATGGGGAAAATATCTTCAGTGTAATTTTTATTAAAGGAATGACTCTGTTCAAAAGCTGCATTTGAACTCAATGTGCTTTTTTCCTGGTTCTCAGGGGTATAATGTTCAACCTCAGTTCTCTTTTCTTCTCTGGTTTTGTTGCGGCTTGTGAGAATGTTATGGCGTGATACATCTGAAGTTGGTAAAATACAGCTGACGAGTTGGGAATTGGTGACGTTAATTCCTCCATTTGCAGCTGTGTTATACACGCTCTCAGTTTTTCTCTTCTTTGTGTGATCCATCTTCTTAACGGTTTTTGCTTTTCTTTTCTTATCAAAACCCTGTTGTTATGTTGAGTAAGATTCCAAAAGAAAAACAAATTATTGCCATATAGACAGTGTGCTCTCAAATTTAATAGGATCTGCAGGTAACAGATACTTATTAAATTAAACTCAACAAAATATACTGAGAACTACAGCAAAAAATTGTTTACCACTGTACAGTACTAAAATGAACACCAGTGTCCTACTGATATTCAGAGAAGAAATTGCTTAATTCACATTTTCCTACTTAAGTATTAGATGTATCAATTTATCACCAAACTATAACAGCTATTTGTAAAGTACTTGAGAAAAATAATTGACTTAATTTTTTGTTTCCTTTTCCACAGTAAGCACATATGGAAGATTTTCATTGGGAAAGGTTCACTGGTCTCTGATCTAAAGTTGAGGATATTAAACAGTATAATGATATACTTCTAAGTTGAGTAATAGGCAAAGTTATACAGATGTTTCTTTTCACTATTATTGACCAATCGAGTTCTTAAAATGTCTCTATTAAGGGTAATACTGCAATGAACAGCTACATGCTTATATTTTCCCTACATCTGTATTATTTATAATTTTATTAAGTTCTATTAACCAACATACAGTACATCATTAGTTTTTGTTTGTTTGTTTGTTAAAGATTTTATTTATTTATTTGACAGACAGAGATTACAAGCAGGCAGAGAGGCAGGCAAGGAGAAGGTGGGGGGAGCAGGCTCCCCGCTGAGCAGAGAGCCCGACGTGGGGCTCGATCCCAGGACTCTGGGATCATGACCTGAGCCTAAGGCAGAGGCTTTAACCCACTGAGCCACCCAGGTGCCCCACATCATTAGTTTTTGATGTAGTGTTCAATTATTCATTAGTTGTGTTTAACATCCAGTGCCTACTGGATCATGTTGGATTATTTATTTTACACAGGGTCTTCAAAGTAAGATAACTAGTTTAAAAAGTTATGGGAATTTTCTTATAATTTTTTGATGAAAAAATAAATAGGTGAATAGAAACAATACAACATCTTTAATTGGAAATGTATTTTTACCTTTGTATATATGGTTCTCTTTAACACTGACTTCATATAATATATACACATATGCAAATTTGGTAACTTTCATGTATATTAATGTACAGACTAAAAAAACAAATTGGGAAAATACATTCATGAACCTGTGGAGTAACTACAAAGGACATCAAAAATCTATTACCTGTTTTTTCTTTTCTTCCTTCACTATCAATTCAGTCTCTTTGTAAGTATCACTCTTCACCGAACTGCTAAAGGAATCAAAACCTTCTCCAGAGGCCAAATGATCAGGAATCCGAGTAAGACACACTCTCAAATCTTTAGTGAGACCAAATATCTTTTTAAATTCTGCATCATTCTTCAGATATGATGCCTTACTGCTTCCTCCTTGGGAATGGTTCTTGTCATTTCTTTCTTGAGTAACTTTTTCGAATGTTGATGCCATCTCATTCTGGATCTGGAATCAGGAAAAAAAAACACACAAACAACACTGCTAATTACTTAAGCTATTTTATCAGACTAGCAGCTAAGTGTTCATCTCATCTTACTTAAAACATCATGCTCTAAAGTCCTAAATGGGGTTTACATTACCCTTGTCTTACCACCCTCACTTGAAAAAATGAATTTAACTGAGTACAAACTTAAACTGTCCCTTTAAAATTTCTCATTTATTTTGCTTTCTTGCACTAGAAAGGTTAACAGACAATTGATTCTCAAACTGAAATAAGAATACAAACTAATGACAAGTTAAAAATAATCTATAAAACATTAGTTGGAAATTGTAGTCTTCTGGAAAAGTCTTATGCCTTTAATCAATCTTATACTTCAGAATTTACCTCCTTACATATCTAGAATTCAATGAATTCCATACTGAAGGGGAGAAACACTGGCATTATTAAGTAGATCACTCCATAAGGAAAGAGTGGGCACAAATACTTAGCACAGACAGACATACCTTAAGTACAACAGAAAGGTAACTATGTGGATATGTTGAATAATTGAAGTCAGAAAGGGCTTTAAAAAAAAAACCAAGGGAAACTTGTCTACTAACAACAACAAAAAAAGATGTTGATAAATCCTATTTCCACAAATGACCGAAAAGTACTGATCAGCCCCATTCTACTCCTTCTACCACCTACCTAAAAAAACTGCCAGACATCTACCCATCATCACAAACAAAAAACCCAGCTCTCCTAGATGCATAGTATTGATCTTTTCATACACTAACATTAATCTAGTAAATATATGTACATATATGTATATATATGTGTACAAATGTGTATATATATACACACAGAATTTTACCAAGCTTTGAAGTCACAATATCTCTCACCATCTCTTCTAAACTTTGTTGCTGAGTTTTTTGTTTGTTTGATTTTGTCTTAAAGATTTGGCATGCCAAATGATTTAAGAGAAAAGTACTGCTAATACTCTATTATGCTCCTCAAACATTTCTTTCAGATGAAAGCTTTGACTTAATTAAGCATTCATGTGTGTATGGTATTTGTGTGATGGGAGTGGAGGATGGGAAAGGAGGGGGTAAGAGGTATCACAGGTAACTAACTTGAGAATTAAGAAAGAAAAATTTTCTATATAGATAGAAAAAAAGAACACCCTGACATGGGAAAATTACCTTTGGTTCTTGGTCTCTGAAAACACACTGTTGTGAAGTAAGAGTTGTTGCATCAACAGAGGAACTTATTTTCTCTATGCTCTGGATGATATTTCCTTTTCTGGGGGCATTTTGTACTGTACTAAATCCATCTGGAAAGTGTGGCTTTGTGAATAAAGTCTTACTCTGTTTTAAGTAGTTAATGGATTGATTCATATTATGTGGGTTTGGGGTAGAAAGAGATGGTTTCTCCACTTTTTTATTCTTCTCTGCCCTTAGATTGATCATGGAAGCAGGCTGAGTATTTGAAAGTGATTTTGTCTCCATCTGGTAAGATTTACTTTTAGCCAAAACAATATTTACAACCTCTCTGGATATTTCTGTGACTGGACTTGAACTCACTATTTGTGATGTATCTTTTCTTGGTGGAATATCAGGAGAAACAGAATTCTGTTGGTCAATTTGTGATGGCAAAACATCTGTCCCCTTTTTAGCCAATAGATAGACTTTCCCATTAAACATAACCAAGGCATTATCTTTAATAGGCATACTTTTGGATTGTGTCCCACTAGGACTGACAGTACTCAGTGATGGCATATTTATAGTGTTATCTCCCAAATTTTTCCTATCTACAAAAGTTTTTAAAATCTTTGAAGCCACATTATTTGAAGATTTAACAGGAACAAGAGATGGACTGCAAGGCTGTAGGTTTTCTTGAAAAATCCATTTCACAGGAGCAGCTTGAGAATGCTGACCACCTTTTAACTGTGTCTCTTTAGCAACATTCATTGGAATTTGTGTGGTATTTAGTATCAATGGCTTTGCTATTTCTGTAACAGGTTTTGGGTAAATGTTTTGAAAGTTCTTGGTAACTACATTTTTCACTGTATTTACAGGAGATACGTAAATAACGGTTGGTATTTGGGAGGCCTCAACTGTTCCTGAGGTACTTGTGGTTGCAGTTGCAAGTATCTTTTGCTGAACTGAAGGAGGCAATGAAGACGCTGGTACAGATTTCACTTCAGCATGGGCAGGAATCTGTAAATGATGCCCAGAAGGCAAAACTGGAGACTTCACAGTCATTGGAAGACTCTGAGTATTTACTAAAATATAAGGTGAATCATTTTGTGTTGAGGAGGGAGAAACAGCAAATGTTTGCATGGTGAGTCCATCAATTTTCACACCATGACTCTGAACTTTAGAAACTGATGAGGTAAAATTTTCAGTTCCCACAGAAGTAACTCTAACTTTTTCTGCTGTTTCTACTGTTCTTGTAAGAAAATAGTTTGAAGAACTGGCTGGCTGAAAAATGGGCAATTGAACTGATGCACTTGTGGAAGAGCTGGAAATCTGAGTCTGAAAAGTAACTTGAACTGGGCTTCCTGTATTCCCTTTCAAAGCATCAGACATGACTGAAGATTGAACTAGCGGTATAAGATTTCCAGAAGAATTAGGAATTGGAAGTAATTGCAGAAGATTTTTTCCATCGGAGCCAATCGTCTGAACTACTTGGTACATGCAGCCTGAAACACTTAAAAGAACATTGAGTAAATCAATACAACATACTAGACGGTATATACATTTTATTTAAAAACAGATATTTGCACATACTATTTTAAAAAGATAAAAATTTATAAAATATGGTAAAAGTATATAATCTGTCACTTTGAGTTTTCAAAGTGAAATACTGCAAAACAAAGATTTTGAAGTAGGAGAGATAATCAAAGGTATGATCAGCTTCGATTTAGAATTGCTCATATGGTTAGGTAATGGGTAAATTAGACTTTTCTAAGGTTTTACCCTGCATAAAATTATGTCTATTAGAATATTTTCCTCTTAAACTAGTACTATTCTCCCTTCTTTTTTTTAACTTATATTATTTCCTTCTGTCCTCCTCCTTCACTCTGATTGCCCAGGATTCTCATTTCACCTCCATTTATGCTTATTCTATTTCCCTCACTCCTTTCTACCCTCTTTCCAATCTGTTGTGCTCTTCCCACTGACAATGACTCACAAGTCCTACTGTCAGCCATCTTTCTTTTGCTTAAGGAATCTCTTACGGTATGATACCTTAGTGTACCACATTTTCGGAGACTAAATGGAGTTACTCATGTAGGAATCATTTTCTTCCTTGACTTACTGTTTTAGCACATTTGAAATTGGGTGCTAAATAGCCCTTGGTATGGGAATTATTCATATTAGTTCCCACTGCCTGTCAATCCATATAAATAACAGCAACGCCATTTCAGTTAAGTGGTTTTCAATGAACGTTTAAACAGTGGAAATTTTTTTTTTTTTTAACTAGCCTATTTTGATCCTGATACTTATGAGCTATGTCTTAGTACAGACTCTCTGACTTTTAAAAATCCCAAATATACCAATCTCTATTTTATAAGCAATTATTTGTAGATTTCTTCAATACAGATACCTCAAAGTTATTTATGCCTAAAACCACTTCAGTTCCTGGAAAATACTGAGTTCTCATGGGATTCAGAGTAATCACATGTGCTCTCTCTCTACCTAGCTACTCCTCTCCTCTCCCACCCATATAACTCAAGTGTCAGCATTAATAATACTTCCCAAGAGATGCATTCTCTAACCACTTTAACTATCTTTGCCCATCTTTCATAATTAGTGTATAATATTACACCTGTTAGTTTCATTGTACACATCACAAGCTGTCAATATATACTAACCTACTTGTTCACTTGCAATATAGACTGTCTCTCATGCTAAATCCTAGCAACAGAAATGCAGAGTTCATGTCCTACCAACAGTATGACCTTATATGACTAAGATCAAATGAAAACAAGTAATAATTAGAATTCTTAATGATGTAAAGGTGTATTTTACTGCCCATAAGTGTTTTTAAAACCTACATATTAGTTAAAGTCAAAGCCAAAAACTCTATGCATTCTAGGAAGCCCTGGAACTCAGTTTTACCTTTCAGTAACCCAAAATAATACAATTAAATCTTTTTAAATATTTAAAACTGTTTTTTGGCCACTTCATAGTGCTTCAAAATGTTAAATTTACTTTTAGCAAATTAAGAGTTGCTTAATTTTGAAATTCTTCTTTCTAAATTCTAATTTCTAATTCTTCTTTCTTTCTTCTTCTTCTTCTTTCTAAAACTTCTCTAAAGAGAAGCATGAACATAAATGTATGAATTCTCACTATCGGGACTTAAAGAAGAAACCTACTTTCATTACTTCCCCACTCCCAAAAAAACAGAGAAAAGGCCTGAACTTATTCAACTTTAATTTATTCAACAAAAATTTACCTGAGTGTCTGTTATGGTTCAGGCACCTGGCTCAATTATGGGAAAAGGGTCAGTAACCCACAGCCTTCAGCCAAATTTTGCTCCCTACCTGTTTTTGTGCAGCCCATAAGCTAAGAATGTTTTTTCTATTAGAAATGGTTTTTTAAAGTGACAAGAGCAGTATTTGTTATCTGTGAAATTATGAGATTCAAATATCAGCATCCATAAATAAAGTTTTATTAGTACACAGTCACACTCATCTTTAATGTACTATATATGGCTGCTCTCATGCTACAATAACACAGTTGAGTAGTTACACCAGAAATGATCATATGGCCCACAAAGCCTGAAATATTTACTATCTGGCTCTTTACAGAAAATATTTGCTTGTCCTCAAGCTAGTCTGACCCACAATTCCCAAAAGAACTTAAACTGTTGGTTATATGGACAGGTAAACAGGCAATTATCATTAGGTGAGATAAATGATACACTATATTTGGATGAGAACAAAAATGCTTGCTCTTTTTTTTTTTTAAAGATTTTATTTACCTATTTGACAGAGAGAGACACAATGAGAGAGGGAACATAAACAGGGGGAGTGGGAGAGGGAGAAGCAGGCCTCCTGCTGAGCAGGGAGCCTGATGCGGGCTCAATCCTAGGACTCAAGGATCATGACCCAAGTGGAAGGCAGATGCTTAATGACTCAGCCACCTAGGCACCCCTGCTTGCTCCTTTTCTTAAAAGCTTCCTAGATAGGACATTCTCCTACTTCCATAATAATTCCTTGGTCTTCCTTGTCAATTCATCCTACCTGAATCAATCTTCAAATGCTGAAATTCACCAAAGCTGAGACTGAATTCTCTTCCTTAAACTTTTCTCAATTATTTCTTTAATGTGCATGACTTCAGTAAATTACCATTTATACAGCAGCAATTAAAGGATTTGCATCTTAGCTATTTGGAGATTGAGACTTATATATCCAACTACCCTCATGACATTTCCATTCAGAATTTCAAATGCACCTAAAACTCAACATGGCCTTTTCCAGTGTTTTTTTTTTTCCTTCCCCTATGATAAGTGGCATATCATAAATCAGAACAAGGAATTTCCTGCTTTCTAATCATCTACATTTAATCTATCACAAAATCCTGTTGGTATTATCTCCTAAATTTCCCTTAATCTTTTCAATTCTTTCCAAACTATCTTTCTCCATTCTATTCAAGCAAACATCACTGCTGGCTTGTACTACTGTAGTAGCTTCATAACTGGTCTCTTCTTCAGCCACAGCCTCTCCCTTTTAAAGCTTTCATCACATTAAAACTGATCCTTCCCTGCTTAAAACAGTTCAGCAGGTTCCCATTTTCTTTGAGCAGGAGAACAAAAACCAAGAGATTTTGATGCAATGGAAGCCAAAGGAAGAGAGTTTTGAGAAAATGGGCAAGTCTATTTAAAAGTTCTAACAAGCCTAGTAGGATGTAAATTAAAATGTAAACTTGAACGAAAAAAAGGTTTGGGAGCACCTGAGTGGCTCAGTTGTTAGGCATCTGCCTTCGGCTCAGGTCATGATCCTGGGGTCTTAGGATCTAGCCCTGAGTCTGGCTCCCTGCTTGGCGGGAAGCCTGCTTCTCTCCCACCTGCTCCCACTGCTTGTGTTCCTTCTCTCACTGTCTCTCTTCCTGTGTCAAATAAATAAATAAAATCTTAAAAAAAAAAAAAACAGTTTGGTGGAGAAAAAAAGTTGCAGAGGAATTAACATGAAAAAAGGATATTAAGATAGAAGGTACAGACAACTTCTATGAACTTTGACTGTCAAAGGGAAGATAGAGACTGGCAAGTAGATGGAGGCTAAATGGGGTCAAGAAGGGATCTGTTTTGTCTTTTTTAAGGTTTAATGAATCAGAGCATAAATTAATGCTCTTATGAGTTATCAAGAGAAGAGGATAAAGAGGGCTAAGTGTAAGGTATGATAAGGAGATAAGAAATCAGAGCAAAAACAGAAATTTGAGGAGAATCAAAAAGATCTGAAACAGTCTAAGATGGCTAAGGATATAGGTAGATTATGAATTTATAGTGAGACCAGTTTGTGCTTTTGTGAGATCTTCCTTGTTTCATTGGGTGTAAGCAAAGTAAAAGCAAATCCCTGAGTTCATCCAGGGTTGGAGCAGCTTCAGAAGAATGGGGTAAAAAAGTCAAAGAGGAACAAAATAATTTAGGATATTGGTAAAAATTATTAAAATGAGGGCGTATAGAATCTAAACAGAAGGAGACGAAAATGAGAACACAAAATGCAAAAGTAGAAGGCAAAAGTAGAGAATGAAGGGATTCTGGACTGGAGGCCAGATAAAGTTAAAAAAAAAAAAAACAAAACAAAACACAGAGTGGGGTACTTAAAAAAGTAAGCTAGAAATACTGCAACTGGTGTTGAGAAAAGAGAATGCCTGAATCAAGAATTTCATAGATGCAGCAATTGAATCTTACAACAAGAACTACAGAAGTGGATGGATGGTGACAGAATGAAGATCACAGAAGAAAAAGAACTTTGTACTGAAAGACTAGATGACAAACAGATTATCCATATAATTGCTAAAGTCACACAGGATTAGAGAGATGATTGTGACCTGTGTTCCAAATTCAGTGACAAGAAGTTGGTAGATGATGTTCATGAACCACAATTAAGACCATCTACCAACTTCTGGTTACTGATATGCCAAAAAGCTCCCTAGAAATTCATTCTCTTTTGCAGTCTATTTTCTTTCCCATTATTCTACTACATCTCATTCTCAAAGATTATCAAGTTATGTTCTCACAGTTAAATCTGTCTTTATCCTCATTGTCTAGGTGCCCCCTAGTGAAACTGACATTCCTAGCTAATTGCACACTGTGGACCTCTACTAATGAGAATTCCACTGCACACAATTTGCTTGTTTTTCTTAATGTTTCCTTTCTTATTCATGTTCTGCATTTTAAGTATCCAACTATGACTATTCCCCAAAGCACAACTCTTGACCCATTTCTCAAGACATTCTTCCTTAAACAAATGCTTCCTTAAACCAAATGCTTCAACTATTGCATCAACTGCTTCAACTATTGCCTTTGCAATAATGACTCCCATACCTTTATTCCTATTCCCTAATATTAACCTCAGTTCCTTATCTGTGTTGACTTACCAAACATTTTCACTTTTAATACCATGACTTTTTTTTAAAACCATGACTTTCAAGTTCAAATTACTCTCTACTGTTAACTAGTACTCTAATCCTACCATCCAGTTA